CACCACGTCCGCAGCTTCACAGGGAAGGAGGGTAAGCAACCTCTGAGGCCAAGAATCCTGTGCGAAGTTCATCTTTTCGCAGGTACGTTCGAAGTTTACGAGAAAAAGACCAATGTCCTCAGTCACCTTAAAAGGCTGCATCAGTTTACTCATTTTGAACTTCTCTGAGTGTCCGGCTCCCTCATTTCTCGGCAGTCCATTTTCGAGTTTCCGGTGTTCGAGCTCGAACCTCTTTTCTTCTAGAACAAGTTCCTGCTGTTTTAGGTCAAGCTCCCGCTTTCGGTCGCTCGTTTTCTTTTCAACCTGCATCCAACAGTCTACTACGTCTTCTTGATCCAACTCTAAGGCGAGAATTCCATCAATGAGTTGCTGTCGTTTAGCGGCTCTAGGAATCTCTAGCCCGAACTCATCAGCCAGTTGCACTAGCTCTAGCCTCTTTAGCTTTGTCCAGTCCATCTCTGCAATGAGTGGCACCCACGCTCGGAATTAGTGATACTGTAAGGTATTACGACAAACGTTTCCCTTCACCAGTACCTAAATCAAAGGTCCTCAAGTTCCCCCTGACTAATCTCTATCGAGAAAATAGAACTTGGCAAACCCCCGAGCAAACTTGAACACTCACCAGACCGTGGTGTCCAACGACCGTGAGCCGATCTCCACCGCTGCCATCCAGTTGTTGGGACCGAGCGGTGTCCGTGGTGGTGGAGGGGCGACTCGAACCAGGCACCGGGCTAGAGCTCAGCGGGAACAACGATGAGCCGCGATCTCTCTCGAAAAGTACACTGTTTATTTACATGATATACAGTAGGGTCAAGAACAGAGAAGTCTTTGCTGGTCGAAGTTCGCTGGTTTTAAACACTTGGTTCTCCCTAGGTCCCTAGGTAGGGACCCCACATCGGCGGTTGGTCGGTCAGTCACAGAAAGGTGTCCCGTTGAAATCCCGCCCCACATTCCATTGTTACGCACACTCAGCCGCCGTAAACACTTCACTGTCGGTCTAGACGGCGCCGAGAGTCTCACCAAAACACCGGCTCGTTGGAATTCACGCAGCTGGTCAAAACACCGTCCGGGGCCGAGACGTGACGTGCTGACTTTCGGCCCTTCGTGTCTACGCGTTGAATGAAGGCGTCCGGATGATCTCATCGCCCCGGATCGTGCCCTGGTGGTTCGGTCGTGAAACCTTAGCCGTTGTTTACGTCGCTCGGATGTTATATTACGGCGCCCGTCTGGTTCGTTTGCTGGGCCGGCGTGCTTCCGTGGCGACGATGACGCCAGGCTCGCTGAGTCAGATGACCTTAACCCGCGAGAGGCGCTCGACGAAAACAAACGGCCAGGTGCACACATTGCAGAAAATGGTCCGGGGGGGGGGGGGGGGGGGGGGGGGCGCACTCATAACGGCGTTTAACCCTGCCGCGGGCCATACGCAACAAAGCTCAATCGAAGGCGAAAATGAGAGGTTATCGCAGACGACAGCGGAAGAAAACAACAACAACAAAGTTGCAGACGACCCTCAAAATGCCCGGGCCTAGCGTAGCAGACGAACCGAGGGTAGTAAGCGCCGAAACGAAGGAAAGAAAGTAAAAACTAAGACAAACAAAGCAAGGGTACGCGATGGTATACACGTCGGGCAAACAAAAATAAGAGCAAACAAAAATACACAACAACATACAAGCAGGAGGAAGAAAGAACGCGGCCGAGTGGCGTCGTCTCAAAAATATAAAACAAGACTCAACATGGAAAGAGTAGAGACGGTTCAGCGGGTGTTGGCCTTTATCGTGGAAGTAAAAAAGCAGCGAAGCAGAAGATGTTAGTCGTCCCCGTGCTAACTATCGGAATTTGAGCACTATAAATAACGTGACTGAAATCACCTTTTTTCACGGGGCTACGACGCTCTCTCCTTCTTTCTTTGCAAGCGCGAGAAGTCTGCTTTTTTCGTAACTCCGCTTTTATTAATCTATAATAGCGTCATTTATTTATTTATTTTATTTATGCAATACCCACAGCGCCAAATCAGGCATTACAGTGGGGGGGATATACATACAAAAAACAACGTACAATGTCAGTCAGACCTCTGCTCCACGGCAGATAAATCATTCAAACAACATATAAACCTTAATTATAAACCATACAAGGAAATAGAAACTTATAAACAACACATATAAACATAGCTTATAAACCACGCAGGGAAGAACTCAAGCTAGATTTAATCTAACAGAGAAAAAAAGTGATCATTTGACAGTACGCCAACCAAAGACGGAGGCAATCGATTCCACTCGTAGATAGTTCTTGGAAAAAAGGACATCCTAAATACCTCTGTTTTGAACGAAATTTCTCTCACCTTGAAACTATGGTCAACGCGCTCTGATTGATAGTGGGGCTGCATTATATACATGTCTCTTTGAAGGCCAACTGTCGAATGATGAATGCAATGAAACAACTTTAAACGAAGTCTCCTTCTGCGAGTTTCGAGGAGCTCCCATTTTAAAACATCTTTTGTGCGTGTTGCGCTGAAATCTATATTATAATTCCCGGTAACAAACCGAGCAGCTAAGTTTTGCAGTCTTTCTAGTTTTATTTTGTCACGTGCTGTGGGCGGGTCCCAGACTACACAGGCGTATTCCATGACTGACCTGACGTATGTTTTATAGAGCAAATCCCGAGTATCTTTATTGAAATTTCTTGCATTACGACGGAGGAACCCTAATATTTTACAAGCCTTGGCCACTACGTAATCAACGTGTGTGTTCCATCTTACGTCAGTCGTGTAATTTACCCCCAGATATTTATATTCTAACACTCTTGATAAAATATTGTTATTTTGTGGCATAAGATGCAGCGTACGGGTTGTTTTTCCTTGTGAATGTCATAAAAACAGTTTTCCCTAAATTTAACTGCATACGCCATCTGAGGCACCACTGGTTAATTCGATGAAGATCCCGCTGTATGATATTAGCATCCTCAACAGAAGCAACAGCGCCATATAAAACGCAGTCATCTGCGAAAAGTCTCATCTGCGACACTACTCCCTCGGTGATATCATTAATGTATAACAAAAAGAGAAGTGGCCCCAGGACCGATCCCTGCGGTACACCAGATGTGACTTGCACAGTAGAGGACTGTGAGCCATTTACAACGACAAACTGACTTCGTTGTCTCAGATACTCGGAGACCCAGGAAACCACTTGCGGGTTAATATTGTAGTTATTCAGTTTTGCAATTAGTAAAGAGTGCGGTACCGTATCAAAAGCTTTCCTGAAATCTAAAAATACACAATCTATCGAGAGACGTCTATCTAAAGCATAGGCCAGGTCATGGGTAAATTCGGTTAGTTGTGCTACACAGGATAGTCCCCTCCTGAAACCATGCTGACGGGGATTAAATAAACAATACCTATTCATGTGCTCTACGATACTCGTATACAAAATGTGCTCTAGGACTTTACACGCAACACACGTTAGCGATATCGGGCGGTAATTTCCTACGTCATTACGCGGACCAGATTTGTGAATTGGGACGACTGCAGCGTTTTTCCAGTCATCTGGGAGGCAAGCTTCGTTCAGTGATTTCATAAAAACTATTTTTAGAAAAGGTGATAGCGATCGCGCACAGAGTTTGAAAATGTGGTTTGGTAAACCGTTAGGACCGCCTGCTTTAGAAGTATTCAGCCCCTGCAAAAGTGATTCAATTCCGCGTTCACTGATTACGATATCATTCATATCACCCACCCCTCCTCGGAACGCCTGTCTATCCCCGTCATCACTTGGTATTACGGTGGTGAAAACTGAACTGAAGTACTGAATAAATGTTTCTGCTTTAGCGATGTCATCATGGACAATGCCATCACTGGAAGTGAGCGGCGGAATGTCTACGACATCCTTTCCATTTCTTTTTACATGTTTCCAAAATTCTTTCGGGTTGTCTTTTAGACGTGACTCAATTGAATTACTAAACGTATTTTTGGCTATGCAAATGGCTGTTTTTAATTCATATGCTACTTTTTTTAATTTTTCACAATTTTCAAGTGTCGGCGTTATGCAATAATTACGATATAATCTTTGTCGTTTCTGTGTGAGACTGCGCAAAGCCCTTGTAAACCACGGTTTACTTTTACCCTGTCTTGTTGTGAGTATCCTTGATGGAACAAAGCGCTGTCTGAGCTCACAGATTTTGTCTTTAAGCGAAAGCCATAGCTCAGACGCTCCTTTGTATTCTGCTTCCGTTTCAAACACAGTATAATACGCGTTCAATCCTTCATTTATCCTATTTACGTCAGCTTTCTCAAAATTGTACACTCGCCTAGCTACACCTCTGCTTGTTTTTACATGCTCTACGTCCATATGACAGATCACAGCACTGTGATCGCTAATGCCCGGCACAACCAGGGTAGAACGGACGAGGTGAGGCTGATTGGTTAGTAATAAATCTAAAATATTATTTCCACGTGTTGGTTATATCACCATTTGTCGGAGTGCAAAAAGATCTGTCAAATTCGCCATTTCTTGATTCAATCGCCCTGCAGTTGCGATAGCTCTACCCTGCTCGCTCCAGACCATATTTGGCAGATTAAAGTCCCCTCCGATAACGACACAATCCGTTCGCACTGCTTCTGTCATTGCTATTAACTGGGTCATCGCGTCAACCGGAGAATCAGGTGGTCGATAAAAGCTGCATGCTGTAAGTATCTTGTTATTGGAAAATATTAATTGGCAAAAAATGGCCTCACAGGCTCCAGTACCAACATAAACTTCACTAGAATAAATGCTATTCTCTACCAAAATAAACACACCACCACCATGAGCATTTCTATCTTTTCTATAGCATGTGTAACCATCAGGAAAGACTTCATTATCACCGATGTCTGCCTCTAACCAGGATTCTGTACCAAGAATCACAGAGGGTTTTACCAAATCTACAAGTGCAGAAAATTCATGAATTTTATTCTTAATACTGCGACAAATTATTACAAGAAAAGAAAGATTTACTCCATTAGGCTGACCCAGTCATCTGTGCGGTACGACTTGATTTGTCTCGTCATCATAGACATACTTTGTGCCATTCAGTAGCAACGTGTCATATCTAAGGTTCACTTTGTCGCCATCCTTTCTTCGTGACTTGGCAAAGTCCCATAATCGTTTCCTTGTCGTTCGCACCACCTGGGAGAAATCCTCAGAAATACTAAATGGAGTTCCCTTCAATTTCCGTGCATTTCTCAAAATTAACTCTTTTTCTTTGAACGAGGTGAACTTGGCTATCAGTGGACGGTTTTTGCCATCCTGGAACTTGCCCAACCTGTGAGCCCGTTCCATTACCACAGCCGGTAGGCCCAACCTTGATTCACAGATCTCTGAAATTCGTTTCTCTGAGACGGCATTTGATTCGCGAGCTTCTGCGTCAGGGACACCATAGAAGATTAAGTTGCAGCGTCGGCTTCGGTTCTCGAGATCATCTACCCTTGCCATCAATGCCCCAAACTCACGCCTTTGGTTCTCGCATTCAGTTTTGCACTCTTTAATAGCAGTATGCAGTTGGTCAAGTCTATTTAGCTTGGATTCTAATGACGTCATCCGGTTGACCAGATCATCAATGGCAACCTTATTCTCAACCTGTGTGGTCTCGATAGAGGCAAGCTTCACTTGTATGGACGCTTGGCCATCCAAGAGCTGCTGCAATTGTTCCGCCGTAGTGGGACCCGGGTTAAGCTCTATGTCACCACACAAGAGGAGTAACAGAAAATAGAAAGCGAAACGCCATAGCAGATGAAAGCAACGTCGCGACCGACGTTCAGGTTCCGAATATCTTGATAAGCAAGCAAACAGTGTTTGGGGTGGAACCGGCAAAACATAAACTGAGAAAAGAGGAGAGAGTTCTGCATCACTAACCTGCGAAAGCAGTAAAATCAACGTGAAGGGCACCGCCGTAGCCATGCCGGTTCCACGCCCCACTGGAGTACTGCAGACCGACGCCTTTTGTAGCTGGTTTATGGGAAGATAACTTTCCCACTGTTCGTAGACCGGGACGATACACTCGCCGAAATCAGACGCATTGCATATCATCCAGTCCGCATCGTCACGGGGAAGGTCGGTTCCGTCGCTGGTCTTGATTTCGTTGATACCGTTGATAATCCGAGGCGCAAAGAGACTGCAAGTTTCACATCCGTCGAAGCACTGCCGTTGGCCAGAGAAACCGCTGACCTGCGAAAGCAGTAAAATCAACGTGAAGGGCACCGCCGTAGCCATGCCGGTTCCACGCCCCACTGGAGTACTGCAGACCGACGCCTTTTGTAGCTGGTTTATGGGAAGATAACTTTCCCACTGTTCGTAGACCGGGACGATACACTCGCCGAAATCAGACGCATTGCATATCATCCAGTCCGCATCGTCACGGGGAAGGTCGGTTCCGTCGCTGGTCTTGATTTCGTTGATACCGTTGATAATCCGAGGCGCAAAGAGACTGCAAGTTTCACATCCGTCGAAGCACTGCCGTTGGCCAGAGAAACCGCAGACTTGCATATGCACAAGTACTTCTTTCAGAGCATACTGACATCGCCGTAACGTACGTGGTTCGAAATTGACTTTTGCTTCTTCGTCCGGAGACCATCGTAACAGAATTAGCCAGCTCGCCTGTTCGACGAAATGGTTATACGCAAGACATTAATGAGAAATGGGAATTGCAACAACCAAACGAGTTGACTTATGAGAACAATAAAGTTGAAACCCAACTATGTTCTGAAATGTTTGTACATTGCCCTTTTTCACGAAACAGCGCGAAGGCATACATTCGTGTTTTGCTTGGCTTACATAAGTTGTGATAGAATGTTTTCTTCGGGAGAACTCCGAAATTGCACCCAGGAAGCTGTAACATCTTTCCCACACGAAGAGAATGTCCTTCACTCATGAGCTGGCACCCATTTTTTTTTAACTTTCGAGGCAGCGAATGTCCGTGACAATTTTTTTTCGTTGATCACCTCGCACGGAGATAGGCAAAACCAATGCATTTTGGAGAATTTGTCTGCTAGCGGAGGCTCCGAGCTCGCCAGGGGCACTGCAATCACTTTTCGCCCGTTCTCCGTGGGAGTTGCCAGTATTGGCTTCCACGGTATTTGATTCAACCCTCCATTCAAAAACAAAGCAAGCTGCAAACTTTCGGGCCACCGTGTTTTGGGCGGTTTCAGGCCATTAGGCTTTCAAAAAAGCATCGAAAAACGTTCTTGGGAAAATGAAAAGTGTCCCAGGTGCCGGCGTACCCATGGAACCAGCTGCGGGTTTGAGTCTACTTGGTCAGTGCTGGCCTTTCGTTTTAATTTTTCAGTGATTTCTTTTCGGAGCGTTTGTGACATGTTCTTGTGTGTGCAGGCAGCGTGAAGGCGAACGCGTGCGGCTCCTTGTAGCACACGTGCTTTGCCCATTGGGTGACGCTCGAGCTTTTCCCAAGGAAGTCCCGGAACCGACCTGTCACTGAGCGAGCAGTCAGATTGCGGGAACGCACACAGAGGTAATACCCCACCGAAGCCGAACGGGGGTGGGGACTTTATTAGTGTATCGGCGAGCTTTGTCTTGTAGATCGGTGGAGAAGACGAGTTCTACAAATCGGGTGGCGGCTTGGTACCACCTAACTAGGCGGTGTGTTTTGCGGAAACCATGACTGCTAAAGGTGCCCGTTTCGTGCTAGCGCTCGTATTTGCACCCCGTTTGCTTTCACTGCAGGTGTTCGAATTCAAGTTCGATTCTCGTCCTCGGAAATTACTCAAAATATTGCGTGACGTGAGCCTTTAGAAGTAGGGTTTGTATTGATGTTGTTGCTTGCGAAGAGTATAGAGAGTTCTTTTTTGACTAGGACACGAACTTTTTATATAAAATGCTCTATGTGTTGCACTTATTTGCTAGCCGTCTGGTGGTAGTTTATCGTGAAGGTTGGGGGAAAAAACGCGGATTCAGCAGTTACAAATAAAAAAAAGTAATGTCGAGTACCGCCCGACGGCACCCTTGCACGGCGTTCACATGCCGTGCGATGGCGCTCCACTCACGCCTTCAAGTGCCGTCCAATGGCTTGCGCAAAGTGAATTGCAAAACGAGTTATTCGAAGTTGCAGCTAGCTTAGTGGAAATTGTGGCGTAGCTCGCCTATACGTAGCCGGCCCGGGTTTGATCCACAGTAAGGGCATGCTTTTTTTAGTTTTTTTTTTTTTTCTCGAACATTTTGTTTTGTCGAGGCATTTGGCGATATTTACGACATTTCTTTTTTACCATTAACAATTTAAAGAAAACAAGAAAAACGGATGTTGTCGACGAAACTTTGCTTAACAAAATGGTATAGACTCCCTTTCCGGAGGTGCGTGGTGGACAGCGGGGCTTGGTATGGGAGAGAGCGGCTGGACGCTGCGAAGCGGCATGTGCAACGGGGCCAAGTAGGCTAATAGTTCTGTATTAGCAACCTCATACTATCGCCGCAAGGCGGCGTAAATGCAGGCAGGGGGTGGATTAGTGAGCTCCCCAGTAATACACGCGCCGTTCGACTTTCTTTCGGACGGCACTTGTAGGCGCAAGTGGAGTGCCGTCGGACGGCACTGTAGGCAGCCAAAAAATAACAGAAAAAGGGGTGTTTCGAACTACTTTCTTGAAGAGATCATAAACTGATTTTTAAACAACTTCCTCCTCAGTACATAAGCAAAGTGAGATATCAAGTGTTCGTTTTTCACTCAAACCCAAAGTTTTGCCAGCAGTCTGAGAGCGGGCATGGAAAAAGCCCTACATAAATTTCTTGCTTCGCATTTTTGCGAGCGCCGACAGCCATAAAGCAAGCGACGAGACAAGCGATGGCGACCCTTTTCGCTATCGGTCAGCCGCACGACGAGGCACACTGCATGAAAGAAACAGGAGCAAGCGATCAATGTTATCAGCGACGTTTTCTAGTAATTCAAGAACCAAGCAGCGTTACGTGCAACAGTGAGAAATCGTCGTCGTTGTCGCCGATGCTCGACTCATTGCTCGCTAAATCGCTAACATGCGGTCCAGCCTTAATTGTGTGAACGCGAGAGACACGTACCACGAGTGAGTGCTGTGCTGCCACTCACTTCAAAGTGCCTCTCATTTCAGTGCTGCACTGCCTATTGCTTCCAAGTGCTGCACGGGCCTCGTGCTCAGGCGCTTTGATGCCACTAACGAAACCAGCACAAACGCATCAAGGGGTTTTAGGCGGGGTTATCCATCCGGTGTGTTTACCGCACCATTTTTTTTTGGGCCTCGACAGTCCACAGTCACTTCACAGTCACAAGTTGGGACGCCATAACGACAGCGGCACTTGTGCCTGCTTTTCTTATTCACCAGATGTTTGAAGACCAACTGCACACTCTTAGAAAAAAGGGTATGGATAGTCCTCCCTTAGGGGAGGAAGGGTCTTGTAACCTATGTTCCTTTAGAAAGGGAGAAACTTTTGTCCCTGAAGCAGGGGAGCAAAGTTCCTCCGTCACTTGTATCTCAATATGGCGGCCCCGAATCGAGCAAATCGAGCCAAATAAGGCTTGACGAGGACGCTACGTCTCTTGTACGAGACGAGAGCAGCAGCAAATGAAAGCATAACAAGAGCTTTCCGCAAACTGTGTTTATTTCCGAAGCTGGGTTCCCCCCACAGTAACTGCTTTCAAAACTTGCGTTTTGAAAGCAGTTACTCAGTCTTCTCGTCGACAGCACTGCGATGTTAAACGGAGACAACCGATACCTAGTTACTTCGTGCACATTGCGTCTTACCTTCGGTGTTCCTCGAGTCACGATTCCTTCGCCAATCGCACATCACGGAAAAGGGCAAACTCAATCGGCGAAACCAAAAGCCGCTCTCGAAAGAACAAACTCGAAGCCGCTGTTTATCGCGTAGCGTGAAAGAAGGTTAAATCGCTAGCCACCAGATGGCCGGGTCAAGCAGAGTAATTGCAAGTAGCTAGGCTAGGTGGCGCTAGGTACCGCCCAATTCATGTTCTACAAAAAATAATTAGCTTCTCTCAGGCCACTACTGCGCTTGGGGATTCTCTACTGTACACATATTACGTTTATTACAAGCATCAGGTGAACATACATTGAGCACATACACGGCACACAGATATCAATACAACTGGACACCACACTAACCCGAACACAACTCCCCTTTTCCGTCTTTTATACTGGTCGTTTTGAACGTACGGAACTTTTCGGTGACTCCCTAAGCAATAAAAACTATTCCCAGCATGTTGATTTTTTTCCCAGCAATGTTATACCTCTGAGAGTATTTCGAATGGCTCAGGGGATGAATCTCGTATTAAAAAGTAAACGCTCGATCATGCCGTAATTGTTTGAAAGCCAATAAATCAAGCCGCTCCCATGCGGTTCAAAGCCATGAGTTTGTTTCCGCACACGGCACGTCGTAGCCTGTATTTCTATTGGTTTTTCTATTTGTGCTGTTCGCGCAAAGCTGCAATTGCCGTCTTGAATAAATCTCTGTAGAGTGGATTCACTCAGCTGGAAGTGATGCTTCACGGGCTGAGAAGTCGCCTTTCGATCAACTTGAATGCAGTAAAAGCCGCGACTTGCGGCAGGTGTCAAGTGTACAGAGCTACGCCGTGGCGAGCCCGAAAACTTCTAGCGCTCATCTCAGCGCGCCACGGAGGGCAGTTTCTCCAGGAACCGTAGTATATTTAAACAGCAAAATAACGGGTAGCTTTTTTTTTTTTTTCGATTTTACCTATTATTGTTTTTTAATGCCGAAATTCCATACTGTAAATATACGTACTTTCCGTCAGGATTTCGTACTGTTCAGTCCTTGCCCCAGAGCGCAATCGCTCTCGGGGGCGAGACAATTCCGACAGTCACATTGGCCACTGTACCACAGAAGCTTCTACTGTTCAGACCAGCTTTCCAACATGACTGACTATCCGCACGTTGATCGATTGCACGTGATCCCACAAGTGGTATTAAACTTTTTAATGTAAAGCGTAATGTCACCCTGCGACACCCCGCTCCCTCCGATCACGGCCCGACCAGCGGCATCAATGCCCAACAGTTTACGATCTCATCTTGTTGTTACACCACTGATACGCGAACACACGGTCACATTGGGGATAATTCCAGTCTTTTGTTCACAAACGACAACACTGCCATCACGATGTTGCAGCTATGTTGCTGGCACGCACAAACACAGAACCACGTTGAACGCCGGTTGCACTCGGCATCGGAAAACAGAACCGAACTCGGGGGGGAAGGCACCCAGGCGGCCGGCAGCACAACCTGCCTGTCTTGGACGCAGTTCCTGCGGTTTCCATAACGTCGAAAACGTCGACACAGTTCCGCGTGGTTTCGCTACTGTAGTGACTGTAGTGCTGTAGTTCTGTGCCACGCGAGTCCCGCAATCCGGAGACGGCCACCTCCCAGTGTACGTGGCGCTGCTGGCACTGCTCCGGAACTTCGCTGTTTTTAGCGGCTTCGTTTGCTCGTTTGATAAAATTAGTGATAAAAAATAAAAGCCGTTTACAACTCCCTGTAACGCAG